TTTTTTTCTTTTAAAGCAGACTGATGTGGTACGTTGTAAACTGCCAGGAGCACTTGCTAATTTAGTAGTTAATGACAGTCACCGAGAGTGTTTTTCTTGCCCCTGGAGAGGTTTTAGACACAGCTGGGGTAGATTTGCCACTATCAATTATGCACAATTTTAAACAAGAATTGGCCAGCGGGGGCCTCTTTTTTTTTGCAGAATGCAGAGCGTGAAGAATGGGAATATGGCAGCTGGTACCTGCCTACGAGGGAGAAGATATATAGGAGTCAAGAAAATAAGGGAAAGATTAATAGCTTACTATTTTTAAAGTTGCAGTTTCAACTCAAAAGTCTAAATGCTACATTAAAAGTGGCCCAGCATTTGTTGTTGGGGTTTTTTTTTGTTAATTCAAGCATCCTAACTTTATTGCAAGGCTTGATCTGGCCCTGGGATAGCCACAAGCCAGTCAGTAGTCTGTGTTTGTAAAAGCCAGCTAGGGAGTCAGGATTCTGTCTCAGATGGCACACTGCATCACTTTTCATCCTCAATGAAAACAAGGTATGGATTCAATTAGATTTAATGGTATAGGTCAAGTTTCACAGACAATAATTTTACAAAAAGGGCCTGGCTTTGGGCTCCCCTCCACCAATGTCAATCCAGAGCAACTCCAGGTAATGGGAAATGCCAAGGGTAAGAATCTGACCTGAGTAAATAGCTCAGGTCTAGAACAGTCAACACCTGGACCCATCTAGGTCAGCCCTATAAACCAGCTGTGTTTAAATTACAGGACCACAACCCATGGAAGGGCACGGCTTACAGGCAGAGCTTTGGTTCTATTGAGCTGGGGAGGGAGCTTGCCCGGCCGCGGAGCTCTCCTGGGAGGTGACTGCCAGTACGTACGCAGGAGGAGCGAGCGTCAGCCCCTAGCTCAGTGGTACCAGAACTCAGGCACGTGGGACTTGCTTCTCTTACGGCAACACTTGTCGGTTTTCATCGTAGGTGCATTATATCCACAGAAGAAGAAAACCCCTCCTGAGGAAAGCTCTGAGCACTATCAACTGTTAATAACTTGGGTTAACTAGGTTGGTTGCCGTCTGGAACAAATGCCATTCAGGACTAAAGAATGCTGTGCGTAGGTCAAAAACCCTTCTTCACTTGCGGTATGGTTGAGACTCATTTTTTCCAAAAACACTGTCTCACGTTCAGGCGTGAATTAAAACTTCTGCCACCTATACCTTCACCTTCTCCTCTCTCCGTTTGCGAAGGGATGCCATCGGGACGCCCTGGTGACCTCTGGGATCTTAGATGATGCTGTCTGAACAGGCAGAAGCCAGAAGTGGTTGGAATACCCTTTTGGAATGCCAGATGGCTGGTAGGCAGACGGCGTTATATTCCAGCTGTTAGAGGCCTTATATATTTCATCGTCATCCAAAAGCGACTGGTTCTCATTTGACTGGGTACACAGCGAAGGTGTCATCAGCATTATTAATTTGTGGGAATTTAATCTCTCTAATGTCTCTGAAAGCTGTAGTCGATTCGATAAGTGATGTCAAGTACAGTGAGGAAGAAGTAGGATTCTGACACGAGATTCTTTTTTTCCTTTTAACATTTGTGTTCACGGTTTTATTATCTGTGAAAGCTGGCTGACAGGACCGGACCTTCTTCACATCCCTCTCCTGGGGGAGAGAACAAAGGAGAGAGGACAGAGCTTTGCTTACGAATCACTTGGCTTCAGTCCCGTGTCTAGCAGCAGCGCGGCAGCTCGGTGGCAGTTACGGGGACATTTGTCTTCAGAGACCTGGGCTGAGAGGCTCTACCGAGTGCCACCCCACAGAGCACCCATTTAACTGGACGCCGATGGTTTTTGGTTGCCGACAGGTGGGTGCTGAGCCCGTGATGCAGGAGTGAGGAGTGCTGGTGCACCTCTGCCCTTGCCGTGCGCTCCTCGCCTGGCTGCCGAGGGACGTTGCTCGCCTGTAGCGAGCTGCCCTCACGGCTTGCCAGCTCGGGAGGAGAAGCTGCGCTAGATGCTCATCTAGCAGTATATTGTAGTGTACTTTGATATGAGGCTGTGTTTCCTCGCCTCCCTGTCTACCCGTTCTGATGACATCTGTTTCATATTCCCCCGTGATAGGAGCTGTGACACGTTACAACACACAAAGCCTGGCTGATTCCTAAAGCGAGCTTTATTGGGGATCCGTTTATGTGAAAAAAGTTACACTTGGGATGTGAAAGGGGCCAAGCTCTGCTCGGAGCTTAATCCAGTACTTGTAGGGAGTTGTTCCAGCTACTGCTGTAAGTGCTGGGTCAAGGCCGTGGATGCAGCTCTCCATCTCAGGGGCATTTCCAAGAGAAATCCAACAAAGACGTTCATGGACCGTTGGAAGGTCAGGTTTGTGATGTGGTCAGTGGTAGTAGCCTGAGAGAGGGACGCGGGTGAAACGTTGCGCAGAAATGCCTCGAGGAGCTGGCGGAGGTGTGCCGTCACCCAAGGCTAACCCTCACCGCGAGGCAGCGGGCTTTACCCGGTGAGTCAGCCTCCGGCGGCTGCATAACAGACTGCGGTATGTCTCTCCTTCACAGCGATAATAAAGCTTTTTAATTGGAAGCATTTTAAGTCTAGACAGTAGTTCTGTCAGTGGTATTCCCCTTCATCTTTTTTTTTTTTTTGGTGCTTCTGAACGATTTTAAAGTGACAGCCCTGGGGAACGATGTTTTATCTCCAGGCAGGGCAGGTATGGCAGGGCGAGGCATCCCGCCCTCCACTGGCAGGACCACTGGAGTGGGAGTCGGTGCTGTTGTGTAGTGCGTTCCGCGTGTGCCGTTGTACACAAACACCCACGTTAGCAGGGATGTCTGTACTCTCCCACATCCTCCCCCTACACTCTTCTTTAATGGTGACACCAGACGGGATAATAAGAAGCATCTTGTATGAAAAAGAAGGGAGTCTCAGACAGGGCTTTCAGAGTTCATTTTGTTGGCAGCTTTTTAAGTGGAGTTTTTTAGGCTCTTCCGTTTCAAATACCCTAATAGTTTTTGAGTTAGTAACTATGAATCACGACAAGCTTTCTTGCTCTGCCAGGTTATAATCCTTTAGTGGGTTTGTTTATTTCAGAATATAATAGGAAGCCACATCAATTATCATGACTGTATAAATGTTGTTCCTCTCTACTAGAATATTCATCTTGAGACATATCATCAGATGTTACCTGTTCTGACAATCACGTTTTTGTGCCATTGTTGGGCAACAGAAACAAAGAAAAAACAAAATGTTGAGAGTGTAAGGGATAAAAGAGTGTTGAAACTGTTGTTCTTTTCCTGTCTTTGGAATCTCCGAGATCTTGAATGTTTTATTCCTGGCTGTTATTTTGTTACCACAGTGTGAATAGAAGTCATTATCTGTAAACATTTGAAAAGAGAGATGATTTTCATAACTTTAAATCCTACAAAGGATTCTAGTAATCTGCTATGTGCATGCCAAGGTAAAGCTCAGCCTTTCATCTGGTCTGATCCCACCCAGTCAGTGTAAAATGTTCCTTTGGTGAATGTCTAAAGCCTACAGTATCTATTGTGAGAAGCAGACAAAAATGAAAATAGGAAGCCTGGCCTTGAAGGCAGCAGCAGGAGAAGGTGTATTATAAAGAAAGATTTATTTACAGCCTTCAGGCTGTGCTCAGTTGGTAAAAGTCTGTATTTTCATGTGTTTTCAAAGGAAGGCTTGTTATTTTGTTCTGAATTAATCACTGAATGTGTTCGTTGTCCAGATCTGCTTTAGTCCTCTATTGCAGTGGTCTCTTCCAGTGGCGGGGGCACAGGGGACTCACACCTGCTCATTCTCAGCAGTTTGTCAAGAATTTTCTGCTGAAGAGCTTTTGAACTCGAAGACAAAATTAACAGAACCATTATAATGAACTGAATGCCAGGGAGGAGTCCGTGTGAGGTGGGCACAACATCTCAAGTTTACATGCAACACTGCAATGTGACTGGGGCCCGCAGTGGTGTACGTTGTTCTCTGGTTCTGCCCCCTTGGTTCAGACCAGGGCTTCTGCGTAACCTCTACGACATGAGCTGGCGAGTCCCACTCCACCCTCTGGTGAAAAGCCGTTCGTGGCATGGAACCCACACCACTGATGCTGAGGGTCTGACTTTAAGATGCTGAGCAGCTGTGTCTTGTTCTGACTCAATGGGAATTGTAGATTTTGATCTTAAAATCAAGCATTAATATTTCCTCTCGAGCAGTCTCAACAGCAAGGCTGGTTGTGAAGTGGGTTATGCCCCACTGAGCTGCCTCCCTGCCCTGGCGCTGTTCTCTGCAGGTGAATGCTAATGGAGGGGATGGGGAACTGTCAGCATCCTGACGTGGTGCACTTTAAGTCTCACTACTCATTCGGCTTTCAAGGATGCAGGACAGGAGTGGGAGACAGGAGGGCTCACGCTGTGGGGCGCTGTGGGCAAGGGCAGAAGAAGGGGCAGTGGACTAAAACAGCAAGAGGCCAATCCCTTTCATGGGCGCCGAGTAGTGCAGCGCTGTTATTAGGGAAGGATGCACGATACTGGCAGACAAGCTCTTTCTGTCCTTGACAGGAACAGAGCAATTTCTTAGTTACCTTTTGGAGAATGTCGCTGTGATGGTATTTGCTAGTTGGGTTGAGTAGCTGGATCCAGAGGAAGTCCAGAGGTATCTGCTGGATTGTGAGCGAGCTGTGGCAGACTGAAGGCAGCTCCAACGGCGTTTCGGACACTGGTGCCGACGCTGTATCGTCCGTTGAGCTCTATCAGCACACACAGCACCACACGTTCTGCGTGTCAAAGAGCTCCTGCCTTGAGCTTGGAGACTCAAGGAGATATGAGGGGAACCAGAGAGGTCCTGTGCTTATGCTAATGTTTCCTGATGCCCCAGGTACTGTCACTTCCACGTTTGTGTGCGCCGTCCGTTTGGTAAGGATTAACTCATACTCTGAAGGTCACAAGTGATGTTCTCGCAATGTTAATGCACTGCATTGTTGTGTTCTCCATAGGGTATTCTTCTTTACTCTCCCCTATGAATCCATCATGGAACGACTGTCTCAACGGAGGACTGATCCTGTCACCGGGGAAAGGTTAGCGCTCATGTCTGATGTTTAACATCTTTCAGGACTGTCAGTGAGATGAAAGCACCAGGTAGACCGTAGAAATCTAAGGAAACTCAGGAATACTGTACCCTTGCTTAGGGATTCCTTAGAAGAGAAGCTAAAACTTTCATAGCCGCTGGCGTACCGACCCACCTACCTGCTGCGGCAAGCACCTCTTCTCAGGAAAGGACATTTTGAAATCCTGGAGCCAGAAATCTCCGGTAGCAAGTAGCTCAGGTCCAAGATTTTAATGGCGACTAAATTGCTTGGCAAAATATCGCTGAGGGAAGATGCCTGAATCCTGGCCTAAATGCAGGTGGTTTTCAGACATTCCCATGGGAATTTTGAAGGCTTCCCAGCCAGGAAGATGGAAAACTTGTTGTCTTTTACTTCCCCCGCTCCTTTGATGGTTCTGTCTGCTGTGAGGTATTAATACATTTCCTGCTCAGCAGAGCAAACCTGTCTGAGTCACCGGGTCACTAGCACTGAGCTCTCAAAAGTGGCCGTTGATCTCACTGGCAGTCACTCCTTTCACCCGTAACCGCCCGGTTTGCTGTCCTCTCCATCCTTGATTTTTGGGGATCAATGAAATATCTTCCTAAATACCTGCTGGAATTGGTGCTGGATTTGCAGCTTTCACTTGTGCTCTGGTTTTATGATTCCCTTAAATTTTAAATTTTAAACCACGTTTTTACTTTCCTATTGGTTAAATGCATCCTGTTGAATCAGAGACAAGTACTGAACCCTTAAAGATTAAGGCCATAAATACTGGATTTGTGCCAGAGTGGTGCACGACTACTCAGACATCTCACTCGAGGTGCAACATTAACTTCTGACAGCCACAGTGATTTGCTGTAACTGGTCTCTTTGTTTCAGCAATAAGTGATGCAGCTGTTCAGAAGAAATGAACAGTACGAAGCAAATCATTCACACATCTTTGCATTTCTTATCATTAGGATTAGCCTGTTCAGTGTCTGCTCCAGTTAACGCGCTTCCTTCTTCCAAACTCTGGGTTTCATTCCTTCCAAATTCATTGTGAAATGAATTGGTTTAGATGCTGTATCTAATCCTCAGCATTATGATAAACCTACAGTGCAGTGGAGAGGGTGGCCTTCAGCTGTGCTCTAAGTAATCCTAATGTGGATTGAATCCTGCATCCACATCATTGTACCAGCTGGAGCTGCCATGTAATTCCATGCGGGGACATGGAGACTCTGCTTCTCTCCTCGGTGTTGCATCTATCCCAACAGTATGAGAAAATTTGGCTGTAGGGGAAGAGGGATAAACTGGTTTTGTGTTAGGGCATAGGATACACTCACTCAGAAGTAGAATCACCATGGCAGAAAACTTAAATGCATGTTTGCAAAAGAGCTTTTAGCAATTGTTGGGAACCTTTGTCAATGCAGAACCTGCAACTGTGAATTCAGGGAATCCAAATTCTGGCGTTTTAGAAATTAGAGATAACCAAAACCTACCCCAGAGTGAATTAATCTCTTTTTATCTTCAGCTACTATAAAGAGATGTTAGCAATTATATTCTACCTGGTGTCTGCTCAGGAACAGAGACCAAGGTGGAGTACCTGTGTCTTCCTAACTTCTTCCAGTCATCTTTAGCACTACCAGTATTAATCCTGCTGGTAGTGGCTTACCAAGAGCCAGCATACCTGTCTTTGGAGCTTGAGCTTGCAGTGATTTGGAGATTGTGTCCAGCGAGGGTTGTGCCTCCGCTGCCCCTCTCCCGCTTGCTGGAAGCACTCAGCCACATGCCTGCTACGAGGAATGCTTTCGGAATGTGGTGTTGGTGATCCCAGCCCTGGTGCTACACTTGGGAATCTCGTCAGGGAAGTCCCCAGTGTCCGAGAGCCTTAAACACGTGTTAAGTTACAGGCCCTCCCGCAAGGCCTGGGCGCAGGGCTGAGCAGGCTCGCGGGTTCAGTGCACAGAAACACCCCAAGCTGGGCAGTTTTTTCCTGCCTGATGTCCAGCATCAGCGTGTGAACCAGAGCTAAGGTTCTAACAGGTGCTGAGGGTTAACGCTGGGCTTTTTAGATGCTTTTTTTCAAGGCAGGAATCAAAGGTTTACAAGTAAAATGTGTTACCTTGGGATTGGATCTGGAACAGATCTGGAAATGCTTCTGAACCTGGAGCACGTGGTAGGGACTTGTCCACCCCTTGTGTGCGGTATGTACGCACAAGCAGCACTCTCCATGTCACCTCAGGAGGAACTCTTGGCTTTTGAGTGTCCAGGAACCTTGAGAGCAGCAATGACAGGTCACTTGCCCTGACATTTCTAGTCATGGTTTTGAAACCCCAGCCTAGAGTAGAAAGAGGCACTTCCAAGGAACAGGGGGAGGCAAAACCATGGAGTATCTTAGCAAACGGCCACTGTGTCCTCAACTTGAGCTGAAGCCGTGGCATTTGTATCTCATCTCCAGATACCACACTTCCTTCAGACCAGCACCCACACCAGAGATCCAAGCCCGGCTCAGGCAGAACCCTAGAGACAAGGAAGAAAATATCGAGAAGCGCGTGGAGAACTATTACAGGAACATCAAGGAACTGGAGGAATTTTATGAAGATGCCTTTTATGTCAATGCTGACCAAGACCCTCACGTTGTCTTTGAGTTTATAGAAAGCTGTATCATTAAGCCCCTCCCATGCAAAAAACTGAAAAGCTTGTAGTTGATTTCTAGAACAGCTGATTTTAAACTTTTCCCTGTGAAGTTTAACAGTCACTGAAGTGGGAGGTTGTCCCGAGGGAAGGGAAGTCAGCCAAGCTGTGTTCAATTTGCAGCTCATCGAGGATGAGTGAAGCACGGAGTGCAAGAAACTGTGCTTTGGGGGAAATGATTTTGGCTTTTGTTTTGTGATCCACGGTGTGAAGCACTCTGGCTGGGGAAGGTCCTCTGCTTCGTTCAAACACCTTTTTCTGAGTCTGTGAATGGCAGTTTCGTTGTAGCCATGTAAGAACCATGAAGCCAGTTTGAGTGTTAAAGCCATTAGATGTGTTTGTGTCTTCCTTCGCTCCGTCCTCTCCACCAAAACTCCACAGGCACTGCCTGTCCCCCTCGCTGTCCCACTCTGCTGCAAACACACAGAAGCAAACAGAAGCAGCCAGCTCACAGCTGTCAGTGTTTTGAGGGCAGGGTGCCGAGGTTTTTCCTCCCATGTTAACCCAGATCACTTAAAAACTTCTGATAAAACAGTCTCTCTGCAGACACACCACCCGTCCCCATCACCTTGGTGTAGCCCAACTCCAGAGCTAGGTGGAAAAGCTCAGAATTGGAAAAAATACCCAGAGCCATAGAAAACTGGTTGCAGGTTCATCACTTTCAGAACCCCGTTAAGGACGTAACGAGCTGCAGGAGCAGATAGGTTACTTAATGCTGGCTTCCTTCTGGAGCAGGGCTCCCAGCCTGCCCCAGAGGCTTTTCTGCAGCTGCTGCTCCCCCAGCTCATCTCCTGTCTGCCTGCAGGCTCCGGCCTGATCTGGGCTGGGCTGGGCAGGCTGGTGCCTGAAGCTTTTTGATCTGGCTGTGGTACATACCCAGGTAAGACTTTTTTAAGGCTTAATCCTTGTCATCCTTGGTGAGGAGCACAGCATTGGATTAGCCAGCTTGGGCTCTGGCTGTGGAAATGCACGTCCTTAATGCCCCTGAGGAAGGGGGGGTGATTTGCTGTTGTGATTTGGAGGGGGACCGAGTTTGATGCCTCTGTTATGTCTCCATTTCTCCCTCGTGTGTGAGTGTGAACTCCCCTTGGCCAGGGCACGGGGAGGAGTTTCAGCTTTCTCCTGGAAGCCTCTGTACCTGAGAAGATGCAGGAGGCACGTGCCTTCTCCTTTCAGAGAGAACAGGCCTCCAGAAGCCTTTTGGTTCTAGACGACTTCCCCGGTCCTACTGCTGTAAACGCTTGGGTCTCTGTCGCTGTCTGTGGTCGGCGTGTCTGGGTCTGCTTGGGGTGCTGCGCGTGCCGGAATCCCTCCTCGCGCCTGTAGAGCAAGTCCGGGTGGGAAGACCCTGGTTATGCAGATGGCTTTGGGGATATTGTATTGTTTTGGGAGAGTTTAAGGTCAGAATCTCCAATACCTTTGCTGGTGTTGGTGAATGGGAGTTGGATTTTCCAGCCTTGAGGGCAGCTTTACAAATTTGAGAATAAATGTATTTGAAATCTAAGAAAGCCAAATCCTCTGGCACCAGCAGCACAGGCGGAGTCCTCTGTGCCTCTTGTGGTGGGAAATTCCAGCTGGAAGGGCCAGGCTGAGGCAGTGGCTGCTCCCACGGCACGAGGCCCAGCTGCAAGCCCTCGTGTGAAGCTGGGCAGGGGCATTTGTAACAGTCCTACCTGTTATAAATGTGCTGTTGGGTAACCTACTTGGGCAGCTGTTTTTTATGCTGTTGCTCGGAAGAGATGCTGTAGCATCCCTGCATAATTGGGAGCCCTTCTATTAATAATACATGGGAAGCTCATCTTGCTAATATCACCTTCATCTGAGTGTTCCTACTAAATATTTTGATAGATGAAATGGATAGAGAGTGTATTTAAATACTGTTTGTACTGCAGCAAGGGTACAAAAGGGACAGTGCATCTTTAATTAGACAGGTACATCTGCTTAATTAATTTAGCTGTAAAGCCCTTTTTCCTCTTCATTCTTTCATCTATATGCGGATGCTATATTAGTTCCGCTCTGCTGGTTCCATAGAAACTGAGAAAAAGAGCTCGTCTCATTGAGATGCGCTTGGCATGTCTGGGTACGGAGTCTCAGGTCAATGGTCAACCCCCAAGGGTTTGCAGCGGGCCTGAAGTGCAGAACGTAAGGGTTAGCAGAACATGCTAATACTCATGTAGAACTCTCCCTCAGAAACAACTAAAACAATTGACATTCATTTAATTACTGTAAACGAAACAGCCCCTGCATCACTTTGCATAGTAAAGCCCGTTAATACCAAGAAGGTTCAGTGGGTGGAAGGAGGAATTAGGCTTTTATAATTGGAATGCAACACTTGAAAACCAATTTGGTAACTACGCTTGATTTTATTAGCATCTTATTCTGGCAAAACAAATGTTGAGCAATGAGGAAAACAAGGTGGAGAGGAGGTGGTAAGGACGCAGCGGGGAGCAGACGTGACTTAGTGCACCGCTCGCCCGGTTGGGAAGGGGACGTCTTCTATCACGCCGCGTGCGGGGGACGCTTTGCGGGGAGGGCTGCTCGCGGGCTGTGCCCTACCCGATATGTTCTGCTGGCAATTACGTCGTTCGGCAAGGTGAGGGTGTGCAGCTGTTCCACAAACTTCCCTGTCCGCCCACTCCCAACAAGAGCTCCCTCGGCTGCTACGGTGCCTGAATGCCCCCGGGCAGGAGACCCAATCCCTGCACCGTCTCTGCAGGCGCCTCTGTAGCTCCTCAGAGCCATCCCCTGCCCCCTCCTTTGGCTTCCGGCCTTTCCCGGCGGGTTTGGGTGCTGATGCCTTACTAGGCTGCCGCTCCCGCCATCCGTTCCGAGGTGCTGCGGGACTGCCATGCTTTCCTGCAGGTCCTTAGGGCAAAGCTGGGCTCGGTGGGGTCCTGTGCCTCAGTTCCGCTGCCCGGAGCTGATCCTAGCGAGGAGCCAGCTGTGACCTCAGAACTGCCCGTTGGTGCCACGGCTGCCAAAACCGAACCTGAAGGGTGGCTCCTGCCTCATCAGACGTCGGTCGTATGGAACACCACCTGCGCCCCGCTACGAGCAGGCTCTGCTGGGCCAGTCCCCTCTGCCTGCAGCGAGAGCCGTTTGTTCTACGGGAGAGAAGGCGGCATCGGGCCCTGCTCATCAAAGAACGTTGGTTCATCAGTAGAATTGTTGCTGGACTGGGAGTGCTGCCGCACGGCGGGTGAGGAGGCCGGGGAGAAGAGGGATGAACCTGCGCTGATGAGGAGAGGGGAATGGCTGCGTACCCGGTGGGCACTCAGACCCCGGGTCCTTTACCACCAGCATTCTGTGACAGTGGCCTCGGTGAGATTTTTCTTATCAAGCTTTTTCTTAAAGTGAGGAGCCTTATGCTGAAGGGCCAAGTGCTTAACTACGCTGCTCTTTCTTGCCAGTCTCGGCTCCCTGCACCCCACATCCCTCCCAGGAATTCTGCCCCTTAAGATACAGACGTTTCAAACAAGTACTTTATTTATTTATGTAGAATAGAAAAGGAACAGGGCGATGACAGTGCTACCTCGCGGCATACAAATCATTCATCCGGGTTCGCTTCACGTTCACAAAACATGCAGATACATGGCATCGGTCCTGACAGCGACCTCGTCAGACCTTCCCACAAACTGAGTCTCAAAGAAGAATCCAGAAAGGAAAGCTTAAAACTCAACTTTGCTTCTCGTTCAGCCCGGCGACTGCGTGCTCCGCCAGCTACAACACTCGCACCCCGGAACAGAATTAAAGTAGCGTGAAGAGATGGATTGGATTAGCAGAGCAATTGAAAGAAACCCTCCTCTGAACAGCTCCCTTTGGATGGCTCCTGGCTTTTCCCTTTTCCGGGCTGGCCTCTGAGTTTCGTGTAAGATGATAACGCCGCAGGGCCCTGGGGCTCCTGCCGTGGGCACTCAGCAGCGCGCCTCCTCCCATGCTGAAGGCCCTCCAAACGGTCAGGTTTGGGTTGGTGCAGCTGCAGCGAGCACAGCACAGGGCATTGCTCCTCGTTCCACCCTGATCTGCGGTGCAGCCATGGCCCAGAGCCCCGTGCACCCGCGGCACGGCAGCGAGAAGCGTGCACAGGCATCCGCGACGTCCCTGCCGTCGCCTGGACCGTGATGCCGGCAGCAGTCCCAGGTCTCTGGGGCCAAGTGCTAAAAACTGAGTTGGCGTTAAAAACCTCGTGATGGGGTAAGAATACTCCAGCTGACTCCGAGGGGCTGGGAACGTCTCTGCTGTAACGCAGGAGCAGAACCAAGTGCAGCCGAAGATTAGCAGAGGGAGACGTTCAGGTGAGCACGAGTACAAGGCACTCCTGCGTCTGAAGTGAAACCCAGCTCTGGGCATTGCCCCACGTACGCGCAAACCTCCATCGTCTGAAAAGCCGTCCCGGACTGAAGCTTCCAGGGACGGCTCCGCTCCGTCGTGCCAACAGCCCTGCACCTTCAGCAGGCAGGACAGGGCTCCGCGTGTCCTTGTCCAGCCCCGTGGAGGCAGACACGCAGCTTCCCAAGGGGTGTTACCAGCAGAGCTGCAGACCGCAGCCAGCTCCGCGTCTGTAGCAGAGTAACCCCGCTGTGAGCGACGTCTGGAGCGTAACCAGCCTGCCTGGTGCGCTTGCAGGCCCATACAGCCAGCTTCGGGGGGAACGAGGGTGGCCATAATATTGATAACTCTTTATTTACACCCCATAAACACCTTCCAGTTAATTTAGATACTATAAATCTGACTTTTGCCACGACTACCAACGCTTTGAGCCTCGGACCACTCTTGCCCTGACTTCCACCTGCAACAATCCCAACTAGGGCTGTGCGGTGACACACGCTGAAGCTCAGCATGTTCTGGAGGTGTTGGATGCTGCTGACGATGCGCTGCTACGCTGACCGCCAGAAAAGTCAAGGAACAGCGTAAACCAGGCGGTAAAATGCCAACAAGCCCGCTATCGCGGTGGGCAGGAGGGAGGCAGACGCCGCTCTTGCCACCGTACCCACGGCAGAAGGGCAGCCTG